TCAGTCCGGTGTGCGTTCTCCCGTGCCACGGCTGAGGGGACGTGGGGGTTTACCCGGGGCTCCGCAGATCCACGTTGCCGGTGACATTCCGGGCTGGCAGGCGGGGGAGTGTTGGGGCAAGGTGGCAGGAGATGGAGGGGGTCGTGGGTCCCCTCTTACCCTGCACCCAGGCACCCGTTACTGCCACCCTCAAAGTGAAAACCACAAAACCAGACTGCCGACAGCCCAGCCGAGAGGGTTTAGACAGGAAAGGTTCCCTCGCACTTCAAGGCCTCCCTCACAATATTCACCGTTGCCTTCTTACGGCTTCATTTAGTGACCGTAACGTTATTACTGGTGGTCGAGGAACAGTGTCTTGCATCCAGATGCTCTCCGGTGCCCGAAGCAGTGCCTGGGGTTTTATGGTTACTGTGAAGCATACGTTACATTTGCCTGAAGTCATAATGATAGGCTGCTGAATCTAAAAGGATTCAACTGTTAGTTTGTTTACTTCTTTCAAATGTTTTGTTTTGGGAGGGAAACAGTCTAGTGAATTTTGTTTTTGTTAATTCCCTTGAGTTTGTTTGTGTTCAGTTTCCAGTACTGTGGGAAGATTAAGCTGGGAAAAAATATGTATATGACAACTGAGACTTATGAAAACGGTACTAATCGTGTTATAGTTTGTAAAGACCTTTGTTTACAAAATAAATTGGTGAGTTTAATTGATAGTGACCGTTTAAGCACTGTGTATCTGGCTTGTTATGTAGAAGGTATTGTGGATCTTAAAGAAATGATGCAATAAAACCAGGAAAAATGCCTAACAGTCATTTACATCTTGTTTTGACAATATCAGCGTATTTTATTAGCAAAAAGATAAGGAATCTCATCCCGCAGTTCATTTTGGAAGGTGCATCTGTTCAACTTTGATCACTACGTGTATCTCTTATGTCTCACAATTCTACCCTCATAACAGAGTCCCCTTAAAACATGTCATTATCAGAACCAATTCTGAGATCTTTGTGTATACCTTTAAGATTGCTAGAAGGATAGCTTGTTTTTCAGCATGTTTCTCATGGTTTAAGAAGTTCTTAACTTCATTAGGAAGCTGCCCCTCTGCTTGAAATTACTGTTCCCTGCAGCAGAGCTGGCAGACTGAAATGTGTGCCCTGTTTCAGCCCTTCTTGTGCAAAGTATCATTTTAGTTTAAACTCATTTTTATTAGCTGTTCAATCTAAGCCATTGGACTTTGCGTTGAAATAGGTCAAGTATGGGCTTGTGTTCTCTTCTCTCAGTTCTTCTGGGGAAGAATAAGGGTGAGTAGGCAGTAATTTTTGGTAGAAAAGTAACAAACAGGAGGTAGCATCTTAAATTGCTGTAGGTGTTTTCCAGGCAAACTTAAGTTGTTGCCCGTTGTCAGTTATGGCAAATCATATATGTCAAGAGAACATGTTGGTTGTTAGGACATGGATATTTAGTCTTCAGCTTTGTTGCTGCCATAAAATGTAACAACCAGTATATTAAAGATAATTACTGTTTTTAGGAAGTCTTACTTTATTAGTCTTTTTGTTTGCCTTAAAGTGCCTGGCCTTTGCTTTATTCAAATACATTCCGAATAGCTAGGATGAATACTCTTTCTTGAACATTGCTTCATACTATTTCAGTGTGAATGACTTTCATGAGAACAAAATGCGTAACTTTAATGTTGCTACCAGTTGCTACAGGGAATTACCAGTTTGTAGAATATCCGTTAGTTACCAACTAATGCTTGTAAACTGAGTGTTAGAACCAACAGAAAATTGCAACTATTGCCTTGAGTTGTTCACACTCTCTTTATAGAACACTTATTAATACAGCAGTCCATATGCAGCATTTTGTAAGGAGGTAAATACAGTATGTATTGGTGTTTTCCAGTTAAATGATTGTTTTTAAAAATACCTTCTAATGGTCAGATTTTAAGTGTGAGCTCTGCTGCCCTGCTTGTCAGTGTCATATTTATGTTACCTTGAGTCATTTACGGCTTTCTTTTCTAAAACTGTGAAGTTCCGTTAATCTTCAGATGGAACTCTGTGCCTAAGAATATCATCGAATATGTTAAGTTAGCATTTTAAGAGGCTACTTACCCTTCTTTTCTCCCACTTCTCCTACCACAGTCTGTTGTTGTCCACATTCTCTAGCCTTTTTGTGGTGCATTGAGTTAAAATGTGCATGCTCAGTTTCTGCATTTCAGCTAAAAAGCAGCAGGTTCTTAAAGTGTGCTAACTTAGTGGCCTAACTGATATAGCATAAGGTCACGCAATTGCAAGCACTTCTGAAAAAGCTGTGCTTAAAATGTGTGTGCATCAGCTTCCTGATCTGTTTTGTGAATGAAGATGAAAGAGTATGGTGATACCGCTGAACAAAAAGCAGTGTTAGCCTTTAAAAGGCATCGTGAAATGCTGTAAATAGCTACGTGATGAAGTAATGTAAAAGTAATACTGATTATGGTTACACTAGTGGTATTAGAAATGACCAATGAGAATACAGAGAGATAGTCAAACCCTTGGTCCCATTGATTTCAGTGGAAGCAGAACAAATACGGCTTGTCAATTATAGACTCCTGATGGAAATGCTCAGAAGAAGGGCTAGGCTGTGAAGTGTCAGAATGGCCCTCAATTTTATTTCTCTTTCTCGTAGGGGTAGGATCTTAATTAAAGGAGCCTAGGACATAGGCTTATGTCCTTAGGACGTAAGTCTGTTTTTATGTTGACATTGAATAAACGGGCTTCATTGAATGTTGCAGAGGTAGGAGAAAAAAAATTACCTGTGTTTATTTTTTCTTTATAAACCTGTGCACACTTCAGTTACTCTACGTTCCTGATCGTTTGCGTGCTTAGTGTTTTTCCTTTGATGTTTGCAGAGTGCATGTGAATTTACATCAAATAAGTAGAATTTTTTTTTATATTTTCTCCCCCCCCTCCCCCTCCCCATCCCTGTGCAGTTCAAGACAAAAGGAAAGAGGAACATACTAAAATGTCACCTGAAGTTGCCTTGAACAGAATTTCTCCAGCGCTCTCACCCTTCATTTCCAGTGTGGTCAGAAATGGAAAAGTAGGACTGGATGCTACTAACTGTTTACGGATTACAGACTTGAAATCTGGGTAAGTGAGTTCCTTATCCGAAAAGAATACCCAACCCCTCACAGTTAAGATGTCTTTTCAGGACTAAATTTTACTAGGTTTGTGTGTATTTAAGCACTTCCAATATATCTGGAGCTGACATACTAGCTAGATTATTTTTTGTCTTACTACTGTTTTGTAGTTTGGGAAACTTAATTTGTCATTTTGTTGGCAATAATAATCTTGTTAAAACACTTTCATTGCTGCCACTTGATAGTGCTGTTTTTCAGCAGTGAGATAGTTATAAACACTTCTTCCTCTTGTTTATTGCTTGCTTACTGGGTCTTTTCTGTAAATTAAAAACTTGAAGATAAATTTGTGTGACCTTACCTGTAGTCATGAATATGCTAAATAAGAAAAAAATTAACTTTTCCTTTATCTGACTTCCCTCAAGATCAGTATGTCAAGTGGCTGTAGGGCCAAGCGTTTGAAAGAGGCCAAGCTGCTCCTTTTATTTTTAATTCCAGAAGGGTTCATGATGGTTTTCAGTTAGTAATGAAGTTTGGGATCCACATGTACTAAGGGACTCTGGTGTGTAACCTCTGTGAAAAATACATGGGGGAAGTGAAATGCTAAAAGTAGAGTTTACTTTAGGCATTGTGCAGAGAGGGGAGACTCCCAAGGTGGCTGATAAAGGAGTACTTAAGATGAGACATGTCAGAAATTGCTTTATTCTTTTTAGAGTTGGGCATCTAACGGCATCCCCAATTCAGGTATTTATTTGATATGGATTTCAGAGCCTGAAACTACTTTAGCTTAAGGGTCTAAATCACTGCTTTTGTACAAACTACTGCTTTGTGTATAGTTTTGAATGATAGCGTAAGCCAATAGGTCTTGAGAAGCATCATAAACCGCTGTTGTTTAAAATTTAGTTCTGCTGAAAACTTCGTTTAATATGCTTCTGTAGGCTGCTTTATTATGGTTTCATGGAGAGATTGAGAGGTACTTTTCTGGTAGTTACAATGCCTTTTCAGGAAGGAGGTGTGAATTCTAGGGTTAGTTTGAAAGAAACCATTCCTTCCCTGTAAGGTGCTATGACAGAGTACAGATTTACTTGGAGGTCCAAGAAGCTAAGATTTTGTTTTTAGTATTGTCTGCTTGGCACTTAGGCTTGCAAGTTATGTGAGACAGGCTGAGCAGTTATGCATCTGCTGCTATCATTTCATGCTAGACCTTGCTTTCTCTTCTAGGAAGGCTGAGATGGGAGGTATCTTACATTTCTCCTATTGAATCTGAGAGAAGGCAATATAAAAAGAGGCAGAGAGAATACACAGCTGTAGTCTGGTCATGAAGGTATCAGCTTGTTGGGAGGTAGATGAGGGTTTTGCTCTCTGCCCACTGAATGCTTATGCTTCATGCCTTTAAAATGGTAGATTATAATAATATAAAGTGATGTTTTCTAGCTGACTCTTTTGAGAGGTATTTTTCATAAGCGTCTGAAGTTTTCGGCCAGTGATCTTACCGAGATGATCTTGAATTTGCTTTGATAAATCCTGAATGTTTTCCAAGAGTTTATTCTTTAAAAAACTAAAAAATGCCCCCAACTGTGCCTGTCACCCAAACCCAGTGATTCAAATTGTGTAGTAACTGTGTTGAACATGGAGTCTACACACAAGTACAGCCCCTGACAGAGGTTGTCCCGTATCTTGTTTAAAAGTACAGGCTCAGCTATATGCAAGTGCTAGCAATATTTTTTTTTTTTCTTGTTCTGGAACATAGAAATGAACCTCATTCTTTATGTTGAGACTTTTTTTATGGCTTGAGGTTATTATGAGCTGGAGTTGGGATAATCAAGATTCTGCATTTAGTTGAGAATTATTTTTTAAGGGGTTTTGTTTTGTACAAATAAGTTTCTTAAAAGCATTATTCTAAACAGGATTTATTAGCAATTGCTTGAAATTTCTTTGAAATGTAAATTTCATGCATGTGAGTTTTTAGGAAGGATTTTTGTTGTTTGTTACAAATAAATCATTGTTAGCTTATTTATAATAGAAAATTTCAAATTTATGCATCGGTGTGGAAATACGAAGTTCCTTGTGATTTAGTGCTCTGTGATGTTGCTGAACAGGTAAACAGTGTAAAATAACTTAACGTAAGATGGGTGCATCACAATTACAGAGAAGTCCCTTCCATAACTCAAGTTCTAGTTCAGTGGTCTTTAACCTTTGATGTAGGAGCCTTTGGGACTCCACAGAGTGTTTTTTGAGAGGCGCATGTCAGTTGATTAATAACAAAATCCCCAACCCACCGTATTGTCAGTAGATTTAAATTTGTTGCTGGATACTGCCTCTAAAGGAAAACTTTGTAGGGCTCTGAGAGTCCAAAAATGGATTGAAAACCATTGGCCTACTCTCCTCCCCTATCCTCACATTGCGAGTTTATTCAAACCCCTGTATACTTTCACTTTTGTTAAGCTTTTTTAAAAACAGAATTGACAATGCAGAGGAAATAGCAGGCAGAGGCAAATGTAGGTGATAGCTGCATGAAGGAACAAAAGTATAAGGACATAGAGGTTGGACATAAACAGGCGGAAAATGAGGGGAAGAGTTGTTAGAGTAATGTGGTTCAGGTTCAGGTCATTAATTGCAAAACTCCTTTTAGTTTTAATGAGGCTGAATCAGGCTTTAAACTTAAAAAGTGGAACAGGAACGTGAGGAAGAGGTACTAGATTAAATGTTTGAAGTTAAATAAAAAACAGTTCTTGATCTCAAATTAATATGACCATTTATAAGTACTATCAGTTCAGAAACTTTGCTTTTGGGTAGTGGTTGTACGTTTATTGACACATGAAAGGGGCTGTAAACACACCTCTTCCATAGCCTAGCTTGAGTTTATTACAGAACATGCAAATATGTTATGCTTTAACTGGTGCGTTGTGTGGAAGATTTTTAAGAATAAAATAAACACAATTTTACTATAACCTTTAAGATGTTAAAATACTTAAGGTAATCATCTCAATAGCTATTAACTTTGAGAACAGAAGCATCTGGAAGCTTCTGGATCAAGGGGAGGAGCTGCATGGCTGCTCCACTGTCATGTACCACACTGTTACTCTGATAGAAAATTAGGGGTTGCTGTAGTTACTCTGCTTCCCTGACGAACCAGTGCTTTACAATGTGTAACAAAGCAAAATGTACAGACTGGAGATCCATCCATTCTCATTTCTTAGGTTTTAGAAACTGGAGCTGCGGTTAACAGGGAATAATGGTAACATAAGAATACAGTAATATCTCCAAGGCCTTACCCATTTAGAGCCTTGATTTTGACATTCTCAACTCAAAAGTGGAAGGAATTTCCCTTTTATTTCACCAGTGCAAGATCAAGTTCCAGGTTTATAGCCTATCATGTCAGTTGATTTTGATTTGTAAATGGCAAACATATTAAGCCTTTAATTATTTGAAAAATCAATCCATATGTCAGATGGTTTTAGTAAGGAACTTATTTTGCACTTGTTCTAACTTACTGCTAAGATTGACTACTTAGTTTTGTTGTGTTTTATAAACTGTATTAAAGAGCTCATGTTAGATTAAAAGTATGAAGTATGCTGATATGTTAATTTGCTTTGCTTGCAAGTGTGGGAGGGAAATATGTCATAGTAAGGAAATCTATTGTTTTGCAGTCTTTGAGTATGTAAATGTTTTATAATAATATGTTACAGTTCCATAATGTCTGTGTGTTTTACAAACTTATTAGACAGTACCAGTCTCATCAGACACTTACATACATTTACATCTATGAGTAAGACCTTCAGGATCAAGTCTTATTTATAGGAGTTATGTGGCCACTGCTGATGCAGAGTGAGTAAGGATATGTAAGTACCCCTGAACTGAGCTCAGCAATATGGCATGACAGGAAAGAAGGAAACTCTTCAATAGAAATAGTAATAAAAAGTTAGGTGGCCAAGTCTGCAGAGCTGTTACCTTCTTTCTTGTAAAAAGGATGCCACAGTGAACAAAAATAGAACCTGAGTGTTAGGTCACATCTGAAGTATAGCACCTTTAGCAGCATTGATTCTGATGATAAGAAAACCCTGGCAAGCATCTCTAGTGTGTGTTACAGTAGTGAAAAACATATCTGTGGTGGTCATTGCCTTTGAGAACTCTTTTTTCCCTAACCCATGCTCAAGCTTCAAATTATGCTGCAAGCCTGTTCTTACTCAACAAACTTTATTTTGTTTTTTAAATTACTTTGATGTGTTGCACCAGGCAGAATTTCAAAATGAATACAGTGATTTAAAGCTGCATATATTAAGATTCTATTTTTTTTTTAGATATCCACTCATAACAAAATTTTAAATTTCATACTTGTTTGGTTATACTATTCCATATTTATGAGGAGATTAATTATGGAATTTTTGTGTAACTGGTTTGTAAACCATGTTGGTATTTTGTTCTTTGCATCTGTCTGATTCGCTATTGATTTCTGCCTCTTTGCTTGATACTAATGTTTACAATTAGTTACATTCCTGAAAGAAACCTATATAAAGAGTGGTCAAAAGAATGTAGTACTATCTGGAGTAGATTTTAACGTACTAATTTACTATCAACCTGTAATAAGATATTTATAACTTTATTGCCCTGCTTCCCAGTGAGCAGTGATGATTTACTTTTTTGTGTTATCAAGTAGACTGCAATATGCTTTGGTATTTCCTTTTCTTTTGGGCATTTCCCTTTTTAAAGTAAATACGCATTTTACGTGAGTATTTAATGAAATAATGTTGTTTTTTAACTGTGAAATACTATTACAATACTGTAGCGGTTATTTAAATCTTTTGCTTGATCTTTTGCTTTTGATTAATTTAAATGGAAAGATTCTACTTCGGTTACTTGAGGAAAGTTCACGTTCCATCATTCACATTTATACCTATAGGTAGGTTTTTAACATGCATTTTCTTTATGTATGAAGTTTGAGTCTCACTCTTCTGAACACTATTACTATGAAAAGCAGTTTTAAAAATAATTATGTTCTGAGTAAAATGTATA